CTGAGTGCACCTAGAATCGCTGCTTTAGTAGATGGAAGGTCAGGGGTTCCCATGGGGCATAGGGGGATACTGGGAAGCAAATGAGAACAGAGGAGAGAAACAAGGGAGAGAAGTCCATGCTGACTTGCGCCCCACCCACACCTACTAGTCAGTGCCGTTTCTTTGATTTCCTCCTTTGTCTGCACTAATAAACTATGGCAGAATCTGCTTAGAAAAAGATCTTCTGGTATTGAAATACAATATGTTTAATAGGGCTGGGATTGAATGGGGGGCCTTGCATGTGCATGTCTACATGCCACTGAGCTACACCACAGTCCCAAAATTGTACTTTTATTCAAGGGAGAAAGAGAGAAATAACATGGCTCTTCATGACACACCTTCCATGAAGCCCTTCATAGATGTTTTGAGTGGAATTGTGAAGGCATTACAGAGACTATGCGGGGGCCAGAAGAGTCAGGATGTAATCTTCTGAGAAGCCCTAGGATATTTCCTAAGACAATGGACCACTAGGCAATTTAGTCAGGGAGTCACATGAGCTCAGGCTTCCCTTATCTCTTGGTTGCAAATCTGAGAAGGCAGGAGCACAGTATATAAGCCACTGGAGCATGTGTCCAGCCCAGGGACTGGCAGGAGTGACAGGCAGAAGGCGGCCAGGCCACTCTTACGTCCATTAGGTCATGTGGAGATTCTGCCGTCATTGTCTCTAGGTTAACCTTCCTATTTTCTTCTCATGTCCTTTTATATCATGGTTGCAAATATTGAGAAATAAAATTGTGGCTGCCATAGATCATATCAAAGGATAGAAGTGGTCAGATAGAGACCAGAAGAAGTGGGAGACTCTCCCCTGTGACAGGCCTTTCACGGGCACATTTATTGCTTTTAGATTTATTTTTATTTCTATATGTATGAATGTTTTGCCTGCACGTATGCAAGTTCATACAGTGCCCAAGGAGGCCAGAAGAGAGTCAGATCCCCAAAACTGGAGTTACAGACAGTTGTTAGCTGCCATGTGAGTGCTGGGAACTGAACCCAAGTCTTCTACAAGAACAGCTAGTGTTCTTAACCACTGAGCCATCTCTCCAACCCCTCATTTATTACTTAAAACACAGTACACCTGGACAGCCTTGGCTAGCTCATCACAGAGTGATGAGCCAGGAGAGAGGAAGGAAATAGAGTTGGTTATGGGACTGGAGAAATGACTTCATGGTTAAGAGCACTTATAGTTCCACAGAGGACCTGGGTTCATTTCCCAGGACCCAGGGTAGGTGACTCACAACAACCTGTAACTTCAGCTCCAGGGGATCTGATGCCCTCTTCAGGCCTCTGCAAACACAACACACACATGCACATAGACACCGCCCCCCACTACACACATACACATAATTAAAAATAAAAAAAAAAAACACATACACGTAATTAAAAATAAAAAAATAAAAGATTAAAATCTTTTTTTAAAAAAGCTGTAGATGTGTTTTGCTTTGGCCTATATTGCATTTCTTTAATAGTGTTAGGGGTGCCAAGCAAGCATTCTATCACAGAACTCTCCCCAACGCCTTCACAGCCCCCAGGCTGCTGTTGTTTTTTTTGTTTTGTTTTGTTTTGTTTTTTTGGCTTTTTGACACAGGGTCTCCCTGGAGCACCAGCCAACTCAGAACTGATTATGTAGACCAGGCTGGACTTGAACTCACAGAGATCCATCTGCCTCTGCCTCTAGAGTGCTGGGATTAAAGGTGTGCGCCACCAATGCCTGGCTGATTTGATTTGATTTGGGTACATTCCCAAAGACACTTCCATCTTGGCATTCTGTGGGGTTATTCTGCCAAGATCACCTGCTATATTTTTGTGTGCCTAGGGAAGGAAAATAGATCTCTTGACTTGTAAGCTCCAGCCCAGCATGTACAGAGCAGTTAGTCTTCACTGAACCCTGTGGTCCCAGAGACTCTATGCTCTTTCCTGTTAGTGGTTTTCAATGACTGTGGAACAGAAGGAAGTTCATTGCTGTGACAGTCAGGCAGCCACACCGGGGAAAATATGATGTATTGTGTTGGGTAGGAAAAGGCCAGTATTGCCAGATCCAGTAATCTGATTTTTAGACAAAGGCATGACCCTGAACATGCAGTCTGTGACTAAGCATAGCATTTGTATTGTCTTCTAAAACAGTTTTTTTAAAAACCAGTGAGTGTTTGGCTCGTCTGTTTCTTTTGGATATGGAAATATATTTTGCCTGAATTTTTTTTCTCTCTGTGTGTCATTTTGGAAACAAGTAGATTGTTCCTCATTGCAATAATTAGCACTTGTTGGACACCTACTGTGTTCAGCACCTACTGTGTTGTGTACCAGGCTCTGTGGAAAGTGATAAAAACATAGGTAAAGACTTTGAAGTAAGGAAAAAAATGGTTTGCAGGGGAGGAAAAAGACAGAAAGGAGTGTACTAGTGACATTTCTCATTGCCATCACAAAACTATGTGACCAAAGAAACTTAAAGAAGGAAGGATTTAGTTTTGTTCATTGTCTGGAAGTAATAGGCCATTGTAGTGAGGAAGGTGTGGGACAGTGGCTCTAGCTGGGACAGCAGGTGCTTGAGGCCGTAGGTCACATGGCGACCCCAGTCAGCAAGCAGAGAGAGAGGAATGCTGGTGCTCAGATCACTTTTTTCTTATATATTCAGTCTAAGTCCCTAGCAGAGGGGATGGTGCCACCGACATCCAGAATAGGTCTTTCCTGCTTAGTTACATCATTCTGGAAAGGCCCATACAGATATGCCCAGAGTTGTGTCTTTAGGTAGTTCTAAATTCAGTCAAGGGGACATTGATGATTGTCCTAGTATCTTTTCTGTTGCTGTGATGAAATTCTCGGACCATAGCGGCTTAAGGGGGAAAGGGTTTCTCTCAGCTCACAGTTCAAAGTATTGAGAGCTGGAAGCAACCATGCTGGCGATCAAACCCAGGGCCTTGTGCATGCTAGATAAGAAGCCTACTAGTGAGCTACACTCCCAGGCCTTCATGTTGCTTTGCAGGTTGGGGATAAAAAACAGCTACACTTAAAAATTGTGTGCTCAGTAAAATTGCTGGTACATAAAATGTTATTAAGCAGTGAAAAGCATGGGTGTGTATGCAAAAGTAGACTCTGTTATTTGCATGATGAGACTGGTAAAAGTTCCTTTACGAGGTTCCCCAGTGTTGAATCTCTAGTGTATACCACTAGGTCATGGTACTGTGCCTTCCCAAGACTGTTAAATATGGAGGGTGACAGTTTTCTTTTTTTTTTTTTAATAATTTATTGAGAATTTCATACAGGCATATAAGCATATAAGGTGTTTTGATCAAATCCATGCCCACTCCCTCCCTTCCAACTCCTCCCATATCGCCTCATCACTTTTTTCTGATAACTTCATATATTCTTTCTTCTTTTGGCTACTCTAACATTCCCCCCCTCTGAAGAGGTAACCCTAAAATCTTTTAAGGATTAGATACAAGCTCCCAAATACTTTTGCCATTTTTGGCCTTTGGAACGGAGCATGTTGCTAAGAGGCCCAAGGACATTTTGACTTTTAGCCAAGAAATTGGCTACTTTTCATTGGGGTCTTTTTACACTAACTGCCTAGCCAATCCCTACCTCCTTTTTTTTTTTGGTCTTTTTGAGACAGGGTCTTCTTGTAGCCCTAGCTGTCCTGGAGTCACTATGTAGACCAGAGTGGCCTTGAACTCACAGAGATCCACCTGCCTCTGCCTCCCAAGTACTGGGATTAAAGGTGTATGCCACCACGCCCACCTCCTACCTCCTATTTTTATCACACCATCCTCTGAAGAGGTTACCCAACTTGGGGATAGGGAATCGGGATGCAGACCGCTCTGACTTCTTCCATGCTGAACAGGGACGCAGGGTGAAGCAATTGGAGTACCCCTTCAGTGGGTCTATCTAAAGACTCCCAAATTGCATAACTCTTATCTGTATTGGGGGGCAGAAAGTCCTTGACTGGTGACTAGGAGATATGAAGGAGAAGTAAAGGCAAGAGTAATTAGCATTACAAGTTCTGGACAGGGAACTAGAAAAAAGTCAGAACAGGGCAAATTTTAAATGTTCATATGAGAGTCCATTGGAATTTCTTGACAAGGGCTTCCAAAGCACCCTCTATTGGGTTCCTCCTCATTTTTCTTTTGTCTGCCAAGGCTGGACTTGAGAGTGACAGGTTCAGGATTTTCCTTCAGGCATTTTGATAGCTGTTGGGTAGTTAGAATCAGTGTCAGTTCCCTCTCAAAGGCTTCTAGATAGGGGGAGAAAACAAATTGGGCTGTCATTTTAGAACAATAGCGGCTTGTCTCCGTTAGCTACAGGTGGGCACTACAGCATTGGAAACAAAGATTTGAAGTCTTAAATCTGAGCAGCACTTTCTGGTTAGGAACAAAATCATCAATGAGAAATAATTGTCTAAATAACTTTTTATATAGACTTAAGCCTAATGTCTGGGAAGTGTAATCCCTTGAACTCTTAAAGAAATATACTGATGACTTTACTCTTTGGTTATACTTTCCTTTGGGGTGTTTAAGACCATATAGTTGGCCCAAATAAATCAATTTATATTTACACTAAGGTCATTTGAGGATCTGTTCCTCAGGGGTCACAGGCCTGATGCTTTTCTTGCAACTTAAAGAAGTATGTGATTATGAAAGGTCTATAACAGGCAAATCCAGAGACAGAGTGGTCTGTCCACAAAGTGAATTAGTGGTTGCCAGGGTCTGGAGCAAGAAGCATCAGCTCACAGACATGAGGGTTTGGCAGGGGAGGGGCTAGGAAATGTTTTGGAAGTCTATGGTAGAAATGGTTATACAATCTTATGAATGTAGTAAAACCTACTGAAGTGTACACTTTGGTTAAAATGGTTAATTTTACATTATGTAAATTTGATCTCCATGAAAAAACAGAGAGGGAAAAGGTGCTGGTGGATTCTACAGCAATGACATCACTTGCACTTCAACTTTATTCTTTGCTGTTTTGGGCAGTGAAGGGCAATCGCAAATGTGAGTTGAACTGCCAGGCTGCGGGCTACCGCTTCTACGTGCGACAAGCCGAGAAGGTCATTGATGGCACCCCCTGTGACCAGAACGGTACCGCCATCTGCGTGTCGGGACAGTGCAAGGTAAGTGCCAGCTGGACTGGAGTCTGTAGATTGTTTGACCTATGACTGCCGATGCTCCAGGGAGTGGATGCCATTGCCCCGGCCCACAGCGGGACAGTGGGTGAAGATGGCTTGGCTTGTCAGTTTCCTGCCTAGATCTTTTGGAGTCACCCTGTCTCACATCGGTATTTCAATCATCAAGTGATTTATGTTCACACCACATGCTCCAGAAGGGCCAGGACAGTCTTTCCTGGTGACGTCTGGCACCCCCCCCCCAGTCTGTGAAGTGGAGCTTGTGGAAAGGGCATTGCTGTCTCAGTCCAGAAAAGAGTGGCGCCATGGCTTGGGTCGCATTTTAAGGGAAGGGCATCTTTTGTCTTGCTTCCTCCAGATGAGGCAGGCTTCCAAAAGAAAGTTTTATTGAGCTCCTTTTATAGCAGAAGTTGGACTTTAAACAGGAAGTTTTCCACCTCCTTCAGCTTCTGAAGTCTGTTCCAAAAATTCCCCACCCAACATTCAGTGGTGTGCTCCACACTGACAAGCACCATTTGGTTAAAAATAGGCATCTCAGATTCCACACCCATGTGTATCTGGACCTGACTCTCCACCCTCCTTTTATCTGTAAAAGTATTTCTAGAACTAAGACCTAATTGTAGCCAGTGGAGGACAGACTACAGTTCTATCTCAATTAATGGTGAGTAACTGGCAGGATCAACTTTGATCAAAGGACAGGCTCTTTGGCTGTAATGTCTTTGAATGCGAATTGCTACATGTTTAATGTCAGGGCTAATGAAGTACAATTTAGATATTCTGACTGCAACTGCTTCCTCCTCATCATCCTTTAAAAAAAATCTCTGTATGTATGTTTATGTGTGTTGAGATCACAGGACACCCTCAGATGTCAGTCCTTCTTCTTCCTTGAAACAGGATCTCTTATTGCTTCCTGTCCCATAGTCTAGGCTAACTGCTCTAGATTTCAGAGATACTCCAGTTTCTGCCTCCCTTCTCACTGTTGGGATGCTGGGATTATAGACAGGCTCTACCACATCTAGGCTTATATGGGTTCTGGGGATCCAAACTCCACATGTTTGTGTTGCAAACACTTTACCCACTGAGCCATACTTTCCAGCAACCACCATTTTTTTAAGCCAGAAATTAATTTAGAAAATTACAGTATAGTTTGGTTTTTTGTTTTTAGAGAAACTGATATGAATTTGATTTTCTGTAGAATTTAGTCCCAGCCTCTCATTTTCACAAAAATAACTCTGTTCTCAACTTCTTTTCTTTTTCTTCTTTTAAAGTTTTATTTATTTATTTTTTCTTTTATGTGGATGAGTGTATTGCCTGCATGTGTGGTGCACCCATGTCATGCAATGCCTGTGGAGGTCAGAAGAGGGTATCGGATCCCCTGGAACTAGTTATGGACAGTTGTTAGCTGCCATGTGGGTCCTGGGAATCAAACCCATGTCCTCTGCAAGAGCAGTCAGTGCTCTTAACCACTGAGCCATCTATCCAGCCCCTGTTCTCAATTTCTAGAACTGCATTTGTGATGTTAATCTGCAGAGTGCACACGTCTGCCTGTGCTGTTTTGATAAGATTTCAAATAAGATGCAAAAGAATTTCCCAAATGCAGTGTTAGTTGCCCCCAGTTGGGAATGAAAGAAAGTTAAGAAAGACAGAAGCTGTCACTTGACATGTGATGTATAAGAACCATCTTTGAAAGAGCCTGAAAGAATTAGGATGTGGCCCTGAGGAGGCAAGAAGCATGATGGGAAATTTTCTGGAGGCTGAGATGGGTCTTGGCCTCTATGTCCCACTCCATTGGAAAATCCATTGGCCATACTAATCCTCATTTCATTTATATGTCCCTTCCTCCCCCTCCCTTCCTCTCTCAGCTTCATCATCCTCAGCTCATACCTGAGGGTGTTCTTTTAGAGTTTTATCCTCTGCAATGGTCTCTGTTCCTAAATGTCACTGTGCCTACAATGATGTGCCTTCAAGCCCAGCTTTTTGTCTTAGGTTCTGAATAGATGGTTTCATTTCTGGAAAGTAGGTGTACACAGCCAGGAGATGGAGTCAGAGTCATACAGTCACTAGAACACATCCTCTTGGGCTGGAGAGATGGTTCACTGGGTAGATTGCTTTCTGTACAGTGTGAGGACCTGAGTTCAGATCCCATCACCCAAGTAAAGACCGGGTAGGTGGTCCACATCTGTAATCCTAGAGCTAGTTCAAGAAAATAAGGTGGAGAAGATCCTGAAGAAACTACCCATGTCACTCTCTGGCCTGCACATGCACACATATACTACATTCCACAGAATACACACACACACACACACACACACACACACACACACACACACGAATGAAACACACCCTCCGAAGTCAGTCTATCCGGGCTCAACTCCTGTCTTTTTTGCCTTGATTCACTGTGTGACCTTACAAAAGTTCCTTAAGCTTTCTGTGCCTCTATGCACCCTCTACAGGGTGGTGAGGAATTTGTAGCTCCCACACTGAGGTGAAGAATCATGATCCTTACAGCATGGCCTGGCCTTAGTAAGCATGATGTTCATACAGTCACTGTCTGGGCCCATATCTATCCCTTTCCATCTATGAGATTTCTGCGCAAAAGTGTTTTTCTTCGTTGTGTATGTACGTGGCAGATTATAAATCTGTGAGCTCATTGTCATTTGAGCCAGTGTTTTCTCATTGTAGTGTGAAGACCTTGGGGCATTGTGGGTGCTGATTCAGTAGTCTGGAGAAGGGACTAGGAGTCTGCATCTCCCCCAGATTCCCATGTGATTGTGACACCACTTGTTCCTGGATCATACATTGAGTAGTTGGAAGGGATATAGTTAGCAAAGGGCCAGCCACATAACAAAGGAGTGGTGAGATGACAGGTAGAGGGAAAAAGCAATGATCTCTTCCCACTGTAGAAACATCATGTTGGTGCTGCAGGCTCTGAGCTGGACTGGTAAGGACACAGGTTTAGATTTATTCTAATTGATGAGAACCATTCAAGCTGTTGGACAGGGCCTACGAGATGTTCAGTGGGTGGAGGTACTTGCAGCCAAGCCTGATGACATGAATTCAATCCCCAGGACCCACATGGTACAAGGAGAGAACTGGCAAGTTGTCCTCTGATCTCCATACGTGCACCATGACACCCAAAAGTGTGTGCATGCACACACACACACACACACACACACACACACGTATGATAAGCAAACAAATAAATAAATGTAAAAAAATAAAATTATAGAGGATCAAAGTACAAAGATACTGTTAAGAGGGCAAGCTGAATATTTTCCAGGCTGTGTTTAGTTTTTCTTGAATAGATGCTCACAGTTATTTTCTATTTTTATTATTCAGAGTTACATAAGGCCATTTTCATACAAGTGTGTGATGTGCTTTGAGCATGCTCCCTCCATACCACAGGACCCTTCGCCTCCTCACCCTCTTCCTCCCTGTTGTTCCCCAAACAGTATGGTTTCTACTTTCACATCATCAGTACATGTGTGATATTATGTATCTATAATAATCATATGAGGGAAGAAATGCACATTTGTCTTTCTGAGACTGACTTAATTAGCTTAATATGATTATTTCTGGTTGAACCCATTTTCCTACAAACAACCTAATTTCATTCTTTATGGCTGAAAAAGGATCCCATTGGGTATATAGAATGTGAGGATCTTATTAAGAATCTGATGCTGCAGGGACCAATTTTATACATCTCAGATTTGTCCTCCCCATTTCTTGAAATTCCTTCACCGAAGTTGCTGGAGACACTGACAGATGACACCATCCTTTAGAACCTCAGTTTAAATAATCAGAAGTACATTGCTTCCCAGACTCGAGTTCTGTTTACTCAGTCATTGTCAAAGGATAGAGTCTTCTTCTGAATATTTGATTGCAAGCCCAGAATTCATATGATATGTTAGCCCCCTTGACTCGCAGCTGAGAAACTTGTTCCCTGCAGACAACACTTCCTGGGACATGTGTGTCTCTCTGCCTCCTCTGGCACAATCCCATAGGGCCCCTCCTGACTATGTGATAACCAGAGTTAGTGGGAAGCTGGATGTCATAGTATGTACCTGTCACTTCAGAACTTCAGAGGCTGAGGCAGGAAGATCACGAGTTTGATGCTAGTTTGAACATAGCTAGACTCTGTAATGGGAAGTGACAGACCTGAAGTGAGCCTTCCAGGTAGTTAGGGGAGAGATATGTTGTCCCACCCAAAGGCAAATAAAGGACCAGGGCCCAGTTATGGCAAGCTTAGTGTTCAGTTCCTGCTCCATGTAAAGCCGTGTTTGCCCAGTTGCTGGAGCTCCCAAGAGGTGGAAGTGTGCTGACATATGAGGATTGGCTTCGTGGGAACTGGGACACTGGAGAAAAGGGGTTCCCTCTCTACTCCCTGGCACTGGGTGGTATTCCTTTCCTTGGCAGGGATTGAAGGATCTCACCGGTGGGTTCCAGACCAGTGACTGGGTGTAGACAGGCCTTGAAGGGAAGGGCCACTGTGTTTTTCAAAGGGGAGGGGAGGAAAGAGTGGCCACAGAAAGGTGACTTGCTTTCCTTAACCTCCTCCTTCTCCAAATCAGTGGGAATATCTGGGCAGTCTTCAGAGAGATCTCAGAGACTGTTCCAGCCCTGTTCCATCATGACTGCCACTTATGTAAATGAAATCATGCTTGGGTTAAGAGCTCAACTGTAATATCTGTCCCTACTCAGCAGATCAACCGCACTAGGACTTCCTCTTTTCTTTTCTTTTTCTTTTTTTTTTTTTTTTTTTGGTCTGTTCAGGGTCTCAGGCTGGCCTTGAACTCACGGAGATCTCCGCCTGCCTCTGCCTCCCAAGTGCTGGGATTAAAGGCGTGAGTGGGATTAAAAGTGTGCACCACCACGCCTGGTTTATTTATTTATTTTTAACAGCATATGGTAGGGGTTTATTTATAGAAGATTGGGCACCCCACATTTATGGCTGTGCTCTAAAGTCCACACTGAAATACAGATTCTGT